CCCTCCGCGCACCCTCGCCGCCCGCCCCTGCCGCCTCCAGGCGTCCTGACCCACATATGCAGCTCGGCCGCGCCTCCCCTCCCCCCTCCAGTATGCGTGCATCCACTCGTCCATCCATCTCTCTGGTGGAAGCCTCCCCCGACTGGGCCAGGTTCGCGTCGGGCCGCGCTAGCCCGCGCCGAGCCTAGTCGGGGCCAAGTAGCGCGCCAAGTCGGACCCGCTCAGTGTGCTCCGCTCCGCTCCGCGCTCCGGGCCAGGCCAGCAGCCCCGCCGCGCTGCCACCTGTCGACGCGGTCGTGTCGTCGCGGATGCGAGAGCCTCGCGGAGCCCTCGGCGCCATGCTCCGGCCCGGCCCCCGGCCCGTGCTGGGCTTGCACCGCCTGCCGCGCCTGCCCAACAACAATGTGCCCAACTTCATGATCGATACCTCTGACGCCGACCCGGATGACGGTGAGCTCGCGGGGCACCTCGGCGCCCTGGCCTGGTTGTGCAGCTGCTGCTTCCGGATACCTCCCTGTGCAGCTCCGTCCTTGTCTCACTCGTGGGGCAACGCCACTTGAAGGCTCTGCGGAATCAGTCGGCTTCCTGGGCCAGGCACCTGGTGGGCTCGTCCCATGCCCCCTCCTGGTAGAAGAGATGCTGCGCGTGCTGGTCCAGTGGGTTAGCCCCCCCCCCCCCTTTCCCCCTCACCTTCCGCGCCACCCTCTCCTCCACCTTTCCTTTGTGTATTTTCCAGTCCCACTAGGGTGGTCTCCTTTTCTGTGTTTTTAAATGGATACTGTGCGCCTGGTTCCGTGTAGGGGGAAGACAGATGTACTGATGTGGCTGATAAATCCCGCTCAATTCTGCAGTTATGCTGTACCGCTCACACGAGTGCGGGCGGACTTGCCTATCGCCCCTGTCCACGGCGCCTAACAGGTCGAGCGAGTAGGCAACCCGCCTGGACTCGTGCGTGCGGTACAGCATGACTACAGAAGTGAGCGGGGTTAGTCAGCCACCTAGTAGTGTGTAGACTGGTTGTGTGCGTGTAGCAGGTTGGCCTCTTGCTCTAACGTGAGCCGTGTAGACTCGCCCGCCCTGCACGGGTGCATGCGAGCTGCCAATCTGGCCTGCTGCAGGGGCTCAAGTGGGCGGGACTACATTGCAGCGAAGGGTTGCCTTGGTTTTTCGTTGAATTTGTGGAATATGGTGCACCATGGTGTTGTGTTGTGGTCGACTGAGAGAGAGTAACACAACTTCGTTTCTTCTCCAGGCCAAAACCAACAGGGCGAGCAGGAGCTGGCCACAAAAATGCTTCAAATTCAGTCCAAAAGATTCTATTTAGATGTCAAACAGAATAGGAGAGGGCGATTTATCAAAGTAGCAGAAGTAAGTTTTTGTAGTGATCCCTTATTGATGAATTGTCAGAGTGAAGTTAAATTTGATAATTAATCATTAATCATTTTATTGACAGATTGGTGCTGATGGTAGACGGAGCCAGATATTCTTGGCACTATCCACAGCAGCAGATTTTAGAGACCATCTCTCTTCATTTAGTGATTTTTATGCATCTCTTGGTAAGTAAATTTTTAATTTGTCAGAAATTGGTTTTATTGAAACAGTACTTTTCTGATGGAAAACTGTTTCTAGGTCCGCCAAATCCAGAATCAATGCCAGAAGATGGAAAACTTAAATCAGAAATGATGATCAAAGAAAATCGCCGCTACTATCTGGACCTGAAAGAAAATTCGCGCGGGCGCTTTCTTAGGGTGAGTGGAGTTCAGAGAAAAGCGTCCAAATGACATTGTTGTCTTTTTCTGTTCCTCCGAATAATTGATTTTATCTATACAATTGTACTGTTGCCCATGCTTTGCAAAATACTTTAGTCAGTTAATTTTTTGTAGTGTGCACAGGTATCTCAGACCATCACGCGGGGAGGCCCGCGTTCACAGATCGCCATCCCAGCTCAGGGTATGATAGAATTCAGGGACGCTCTCACAGACCTCCTGGACGAATTTGGGACCGATGACGGAGGATTCAAAGGGGAACTCCCTGAAGGGCGACACATGCGTGTGGAAAACAAGAACTTTTACTTTGACATCGGTCAAAACAATCGAGGGATCTACATGCGCATTTCAGAAGTAAGAATTTGATCTAATCCTTTGAAACATTATTCTTTTGCTTCGGACTGATGTTTGAAGTGAAGCGTTATGCAGAGCTTTCCTTTAGCGCAGATGCTTGTGGCTATTGGTGTTGCAGGTTAAATCTAATTTCCGGACAGCCATCACGGTGCCCGAGAAATCGTGGGCTCGTTTCCGGGACATCTTCGCCGATTACTGTGACAAGATGAAGGACGGCAGCACATCAGGAGCAACTAGTGGCGACAAGGCATCATCAAGTGGTACAGATATTGGCCCCGGGCCCAAGTGAGGTTCGCAAATCCTAGACACAATGTCCCTTGAATGGGACGCCACTTCCCTCCAGGACGGCCGACGGCATCGACGCGATGACAGGACTTGTTGACAGTGGGGACCCAGTAGATATTGTAAAGGAAATGAAATTAACAATAGACTCAAACTGCTGCTGGTTTTTTTTGGTCTAGGTTACCAGGGTATACCATGCCCTGTAGTGATGGTGATTGTTAGTGCGAATGGACTGAAGTTTGAATTGGACGGACCTTTGTTGCTGCCATTCCATGTTTGGTAATGGGTCGGTGGGTCGGCTGGGTGTTCGAATCTAGCACACACTCTTCAAGACAAAGATATAAGGTACAAAGTTGATATGTTCACTCTTGAGCCATATAAGATTGCTGTTTGAAACAAAAATGTATAGTACTCAGAATTGCAAAGTAATGTGAACAAGTGAATTTAGTCAAGGCAAGAAATTCTTATAGGTGTCAATCAATTAATATTACCTGTTTTCTGTTATGTTTTTATCTAAGAGTCACTGCGTGAACTAAATTAATTCTCTATTTCATTGATCTTTACTTATATAGTACATAATTATATAATCTGTTGATGACATGTATTGTTTTGGCTGTTATTGGACTTCTAAAAAAGTTTTTGTTGAATTACGTTCATTTATTTTGTTTCCTTTATTTTTTGTTTATGTTTTTGCTTTGATTAGTCTTTAAATACTTATGTATTTATGGATTTGTTTAAAAGTGTACAGCAAAGAATATGCTGAGGCTGTTAAAGTCGCCCGTACTTTTATGTTTTGAATGTTCTTCCTTTCATTTTGTTTGAACTGACATCAGCCTGTGATATGCCTTAGCTTACTCAATGGGGCCAACCCATTTCACATTATGCATAAAAGAAATAGATGTTTGTCCCTTTTGACACGGGTCTCAAACATTCATTCTAAATCATTTGACTACCTTGTAGACGTAACATACACAAAGGCCATGTTGAATTGCTAATTGAGTGGTTGTGCTCGTGCATGTCTCATACAGTGGCGTCAGCCACTCGGCGGTAAGACAACACTTGTGTGGTATGGTACAAATTATGTAAATATACAATTCAAAATTTTGTTAGAATATAAAATATTGCAGAGTGTCTTGTGAAGGCATGTGTAACCATCAGTTGAAGGAAATGCTGCGGTGCAGTCGGTTGAACAATTTGTTGATTGGGAGGTCTCCGTCTGTTAAACAGATCGGACTCCAATAATAATTATATTTGTATAAAACTCTGGTCTTTTCCATCTCCAGCGCCTAGCGCCAAGTGTGGACCGTTTCTTAAATCTGGCCAAGCGAGTGATCCATGTATGGGAAGGAATACATTAAAAATTGGTTTTCTATGTGTAATTTACATACTACCAGAATATTTAACAGATTCTTTTCTTTTTGTCTTGTGTTGATTAGATTGATATAAGAAATACATTAAGTACAGTAGGGAGATAAAAAGAGAGAATTAACTTGCATATTTTGATTGCTTTATTTCTTTGTTGTATTGTTGTAAACAAAGAGAAAAACATGCTCTTTGATGGAGATTTTCAAAGTTTAAATGTGTTGACAAGAGAAAGGTTTAAATGCGGGAAAGGTTTATATTTAAAGAGATGGTTGAGATGGTGGTGATAGCACAGAAGGTTATTTTTGGAAGATTCTGCTAAGAGATGCTTGTTGGGGTTGGAATGTTTTGGTTTTTCCTCATACCTTTTCTCCATCAATAAAGTGAAACTTAATTTATTTAATGTTGCATATGATTAAGTAAATGCACACAATGTGCTCCCCTTATTACTGTTCTTTAAAGAAAAGAATAATTAAAAAGCCTTCCAGATGCAGGAAGTTTTCATATCATGTGAAACATCAAGTTTCATCTTGTAATGACTCAACCGTCTCTAACAGTGTTTTCTGAAATTTCAAACTTTCTTTCAATGGAAACATTGCTGTACCCTGTTCATCAAATTTTTCCCTTCAAAAAGGCTTTTGGAATTAGTAATTTTGTTATGGAAACAAATGTATCTGCATCATAGTTAGTGAAATTTATTATTCAAAACTTTTAAAAATAATTTCAAATTGTACTTCCAACCCCTCCTTAGCCTTTTCTTATTACTTCTGTTGTGTCGTAAGGGTAGCACATTCTGGGTTGCTGGTCAACTCAGTGAAATGAGCAGATTTGTAGATATGAGTTATGATAGGATTTAAGATTTTCAGGAGAGGCTCCAAGAGGCGGTTGATAGTTGTGTTGTTGGCAATGAAATTTGTTAATGTGTGTGGTTTTAGCACAGGTGGCAGGCAGTTTTTCATGGTGGTAGGGATCTGTAAAGACTAGGCTAGATGTCACAGGATGTCACAGAATTTAAATAGAAAAAAACTAAAATAAAAATTAATGCCTGGGCTGTTGGGAATCTAGCCACTGCTCTGTAATTAGTCATGACAGGTTTTCTTTTCATAATTTTTCCTCATGAAGTGCACGTTTGGTATATTAAGAATGCATGTCTCTTTCATTTCATAAAGAGATTTCTTTTCTTTTTTTTTTAATTTTCTTCTTTCTATCTTTTTTTTTTCCTTTAAAATTTCTCTCAAATTGTGATCAATTGTAATTGTACAGCACAGGTAAATAGGTGGTATGTATGTTGTATCACAGTAGATGCAGAATGGTTTGGGATATAAGCTTATGGGCAGCTTAACATAGACGTTCTACATGGCTATCTAGGATGTTTGCTAATGCATTTCATTATTTTAAAATTTGTTGTTGATGTGATATTGGACAGGCTAGGAGGCTCGTGAAGTGTGAGCTCTTGTGATGATTCCGCCCGTATGATAAAATAAGATTTTTTCTTAGAGTGGTTACGATCAAGCACTATACCAGCTTGCTCAAGGAAAGAGATGATTTTGATATTTGTGTCTAGAGAAAAAAATCTGGCAGAAATATTTATTTTAATATGTATGGTTGTTTTTAGAGTGGTAAGGTTGGCTGGCTTCACGAACCTCCGGGAGGTGCTGTACAATACTGTTTATAGCTGTTTAACTCTGTTGTCAAATATTGTTTGTTCTACTCGCTGGTAAAAGATTTGTTTCTGTTTTGTTGGATTTGCTTTCTGGAGAGCTGTTTGTGTGGTACCTACTTGTATGTGCTGTATCTACACATTTTCAAAACGGGTTACGCCATGTATTATTAATTGTTATTACTATGATTTGGAGTCAGATTCAATTCTAATCACATCAAAATTCAGTTTGCATTTACTTTTTATTATAGGTGTTATTCTAATTACAATGAAAGTTCCTAGGAACTTTCAAATCAAAGTTTCAGTGCAAATACTTATTTGACGGGTAAATGTAAAATATTTCCTATATTGGAGTGGATTTGACAACAACAAATGCGTCTCATGTAGTAGGAAAGTATTTAATTATTTACTATCCTCAGCAATCCAAACCATCTAAATTTTATCATAGTAATTGACATTATTTTTGGCTCACTTTCTCTTCAACAGCAACAGGTTAGCTTTTTATAAATAACCAGGAAGAAACACTTGCAAAAAAAGGAAATTTATGAACTTATTGAACTGCCATCTAGTGCAAAGAAGCATTTTACTCTAGTTGATCTGTTGAAGTAAATGTAAGAGTCGAAGATCCTGTTGGAGACAACTAGGTATCTGGTTGAACCTCTTCTCTTGAATACTTTTCATTTACATGTAACTTTGTCTTTATATTTTCTTAACATCCAGCACATAACAAGTCAAAACCACACCAACATGTCTTTTGGAGTCAGTGTGTTGCATTGCAAAGTGTCAGGAATCTTATATGTTAAAGCAAGTACACTGCCATTATCCCATTTCTGGCAGAAAGGCTCCAGTTTAAAGGTAATTAGTGTCGTATATATGCGACAAATCACTTGAACCATGGGTATATATTGAATTTTGTTGTTGATTGTACTAAATAGATTATTTACTTCAGATGTAGCGCATTACAAAAGTAACACCCACATCTTCTTCTTGAAGAACTTGTCTAGTTCTTTTATGTTAGGGTATTTGAATGTCATTCCATACGAAGTCTCACTTACTTTCAGTTTCATCATATAGGGAACATCTGGGTGTGCTGGGCCTTAAGGAATTGGGGCACTACTTGTTCTAAAACTTGTTTGCAATCTGACATATTTTTTGGAACACTTTATGATGTGATATTTAAACTAAAAATTGTGTTGCAAAGTTCAGTTTCAGCTTTCACTGTGTTGAATACTCCTCACTCATTGGTTTTGAAGTGAAAGCAAGCAAGTGTCAAGCTTGGCAAGGTTTTGTATTCCAGCTCACCCAGCTTCATGAAGACTTGCTACCAAGCCACCTTCAATATACATACATGTATGGTTAAGAGTTACTGCAACATTTTCATCCCACCCCTCCTTGTTTGTATTGTTGTTACTAATATTATTCACAAAGGAGGAATTTTCATTTGTGCCGTTAGCACGAGCAACATTTGTCCTCAGCCCTTTATGATAATACAAATACAGTAAAGGAGAACACCTACACTTGTCTTTTTATTCAAAGGGTGCTTCAGGACATACTTTTAGTTCTGGCTTATTCATTTGCTTCTCATGTTCATTTTTTAAAAAATGCCTGTTTGCAGATTTGCTTCTGCCGTTCATGTTACAGTTTCTGTTTTTATTTCTTTTTGTTGATTAGTCTTAACATGTTAGAAAATTTCTTATTTTTTTTTTTTTTTTTTTTTTTTTTTTTTTTTTTAGTCTTTCATGCCATGTTCTTTGAGGTATCTAACTATTTTCTGTAATTGATTTAACATTCACTGGTGTAAAGGACGAATGCATTGGTATGTTATTTAAGTGTGTTTTTGTAATGGTGCAGGAGGTCTTTGATGTATTGATGTGGCTTTGTAGAAATAATCGTTTTGTCCATTCTGGTCAATTCAGGACATTCAAATCTTGTCAAACTTTATCCTTTGCCACTTCTCCAAATTTGGTGTTCCCTCATTTTACATAACCTTGAACTGTCGAGCACAGAATCTGATCAAAATCTTAGTGAACATTTTTTTTGTATTTACATGAAAAATTGGAAAGTGACTATCCTCTGGATAAAGTTGGAGCCAAGTATTTTGGCGTTCTAGAGAGCTCAATAGAATCTTATGGCGATAAAAGCAAATTTTTGGTTTTCTTATTTCATTTCCCATTATTGACCCAAGTATACCTCTTCTTTATACAATATCAAGAGAAGCTGGAGAATGGTGGTAAAAGAGTGTAGAGATGCACACAGTTATCAAATGTAGTTGTATTTTTTTTCTTTATCTTACACAAGTGTGGGTCCCTTTTCTTCACTAGTTGGTTTTAATCTTTTAAGAGACTCTTCCACCTCACCCTGAACTGTGTCAGACCACTTCTTTTCAGCAAGATTTTTCAAAGATAAGCGAACATATTCCTTTACAGCTTTCACACTTTCTGAATCAGATTTTGCTGATATCGGGATAATATCTTCAAATTGTATAAGTCTTTCACACTTCATGTTCTCGGGCAAATTTTCAGAAAATTCTAATGGGGGAAAACACAAAATTACTTAAACAATATCTTTCACTTTTGTGCAGTACTGTGATAGTTGATTGAATAACCTACCTTCTATATTAGCCAATTTACTTTTAATTTCTGAAAGCACTTCTTCTGATCCAGGTTGATCCATTTTGTTCACTATCAAAGCCATAGGCTTGTCTAAATAGCTTGGATTATAAAGTTCTAATTCCTAACATAAGAAATGGTCCAAGTTATAAAATGTAAAACACAAAACATTTTTTAACATAGTCATACTTTTACCTTAAGGAGTAACATGATTGTTTCAAGTGCAGATCTTTTAGGGTGCTGGAGATTAAGCTGGAATCCGGTCACATCAACAATCATTAACACAATATTAGTTCTCTCAATATGCCGTAAAAATTTGTGACCCATTCCATAATTGGCATGGGCTCCTTCGATAAGTCCAGGAAGATCAGCCATTGATATACTCCTGTGATCTTTATACTGTAAAATCCCAATATTGGGTTTCACAGTAGTGACTAGAAGACAATACCAAGTTATGAAAGTTCAATCTAAAAACACTGATATATTTTCAACATAAAGAAATATTAATAGATGTGCAGTTGCTTGCTTACATGGATATGCTGCAATTCTTGGTTTGGCATTTGAACATGCTTTTAAAAGAGTTGACTTGCCAGCATTTGGAAAACCTAAAAGGCTAACATCAGAAATAAGGGACAACTCAAGTGTCACATTAAATTTCTGTCCTCTGAGACCAGAGAAGTTGGTTGCAGGGTTTCCACCAACTCCTCCTCGTGCTAGGAGAACTGTCTCGTTGATTTTGTTTACTTCTCCTATAAAAATGAAAGATGTTAAGGGAGAGAAAATCTAATAAACAATGATATAATGAAAAATTTGTGAAGCTGATAAATGTGTACGCAAAGTTGATAATGCTAGTGATAGTTTAATAAAAATAGGGAAATACGCAAAATGATGAGGTTGAATACTTATTACCGATAATGAGCTTGTCATCAGTGATGGCCCTGACCCCACAGGGCACTTCCACAACTATGTCGGTTCCTCGCACACCCAATAATCTTTTTTCAATACTATTTCCACCATGTTCAGCTCTTATTTTCCTTTCTGGGTATTGGACAGCAACGCCCATCAAATCCTTGACTGAAATTAGACATCTTGATGTAATCAGGTAAGGTCATGAAAATTAAAGTTTGAGAGCACATGGTTTTAACGGACAACTTACCCTTAGACCCTTTCATGTATATGTCCCCGCCCTTACCTCCAACACCACCGAACTTCTGATTGCCCATACCTCCATTACCAGCTCGAAGATTTAAATGCACTTTATCAAAAAATGTGCCACGAAGTCTCTAAAAGCAAAATTGTTTTAGGAAGCTCAGACAAAACAAACCAAACAAATTAGAACACACTCCAGGCTTAAGAAAGGGCCGCCCCTTTTTCTCAAGCTTCAGGCAAATTTGTCAACTAACTATAGTGTACTTTGCCGTATCTACCTTTAATGACACCGATGTTACTCGCATGAGTAAAGATGGGCTAAGACAGACCATAATTGATCAAGCAATTGAAAACGATAATGACATTCTCTTTCTACAAATGAAAAAAGACATTAAATAGTGTTTTTCAACACTCAATACACCAATGTACCAAGCATCGAGGAACGGGAAGGTTAGAACAGATCGTGTCGGCTGCTGGTCAAAATAAACAGAGCAGCAAACTTTTCATACTTAGTCGTTAGTTGCTTTAATCCTCCCCGGTGATGTTTTCCTCAGTTTGAAGTTAGTCAACAAGAAAAAAAGGTTATGTTATCACCGCCACATTAGAAAGAAAAATCATATTTTAACTTGAAAATGAGCAGTAGTTCTACTTCCAAGGATGGACCATCAGCAAAGGTAAAATAGATTATTGTTTTGATGAAACTAAATACCGTACTACAGTGCTATTCGTTCGGCATCTTTTATTTTCAAATTGTGTGCACAACTGTTTTGTTTTGACGTCTACGTTTCGTAGAATGATGTCAATGCCTTTTCAGATTGGGTAAAAATCCTCTATATTTTTATTTATTGTTAAATTGTTTCCTTACATTTTCTTATTCGAGAAAAATTTATATGCGTAGTGGGTTATCTATCTCTCCAGACATTTAAAGGAAACATTTTTTACTCAGAATGTTTTCTTAAGCGAGAACCACGACTTTTGTTAGTCATCAAACGTGTCTAGTATTTCAACATTACCTTTGTTAAAATATTAAGATTTATAATGGTTGAAATTGTTATATTTACTCAGTACGGTTTCCAAGTGCTGTAATCGAGTACTCGTTTAATAGTTCTTGTCTTTATTTTTAGCGATATCGTAGAGATGATGACGAAAAAAGCAGTTCAGACTCAGATGACAATTATGTTCCCTATGTGCCAGTGAAAGAAAGGAAGAAGCAGCAGCTTTTGAAACTTGGTAGACTTGGGCAGGTTTGTTCTGCATTTAATTTATGAATATGGTGCATATTTAACTCTCTTCTGAGAAATTTTGTCTTCATATTGTATCTTAACACATTTTCTATTCTGTTTTCTAGTTAAAAGATGAAGGAAAGACCAAATCGTCAAGTGAAAATGAGAATGAGAATGACGAAGAAGATGGACAAGTGTGGGGACGAAAATCAAATATCAGTTTGCTTGATCAACATACAGAGCTGAAAAAGTTGGCTGAAGGTCAGTGAAGAAAAAAATTCTTGATATGAGATTTGATTTATTGAATATTATAAGGTATTGACTGGATGTATCTATCTTTATCAGCCAAGAAAGAAAGTGCCATGGAAAGACAACTAAAAGAAGAAGAACGTATCCTTGAAAGTGTTGCAGAAAGCAAAGCACTTATGGGTGTTGCTGAGCTTGCTAAAGGCATTCAGTATGAAGATCCCATTAAAACAAGGTAAGTTGACACATCTTGTTGACAACACTTTCACTTTCTTCTCGAGGACTATAATTTAAGGTTCCTAATTGGAGCAAGGCCACTACTTCATTCAAATAATATTTGTGTTGAAAAAACAGTATGGAAATCTAGTAGCTTAATTTATGTAGCAACTTCAGACTGAGGGCATGCAAAACTAGGAGGACGTATAACTCAGCTTAGAGTAATTTTATCAAGTGTAGTTTGTTAGAAGGAGTGGTCTGATTCTGTTTCTTTTCTCTCATAATAATCGAAGCAGGAAGACACCCTTCACACGAAGAGAAAGAGAAATTATACTGTGTATTCTGAGAAAACATGCATCTATCCTTGGAAACAAAAAGACTGACGCTAACACATCTCATTTGAAGAAAATAGCATGGCATCAAATTGGGTTGGAATACAACAGCATGGAAGAAGTTCAAGAACAGGTTGGTTATCTTATACCATCCCTGTCTTGGAAGCCACTAGTCATCCTAGGACTATTAAACAAATGCACTCATTTCAGGTGACATCTAAACAGTTGTTAAAAGTTTGGGAAAATATGAGGAGAAAGTACAAACCTGAAATACAAGCTAAAGTGGCTGAGTGTGCTGATATTACGATGGAAGATGAGATTGATGTGATGTTGTCTGCCCTTAGTGGAGCTGACTACTCAAGTCTTCCATTCAATGGTGATGGTTAGTACAGATACTTAATCCCTTTAATTTCTGGAAAATTTTTCTCACTTGACCACCCATAAATTTCACAAACCTGATACACTTTCAGGTGCAATTGAAGTGATCTTAAATGAACTCTCATCAGCAGATGGTAGAAATCTGATTGTTGATGAAGATTCTGACTATGTGCCTAGTGCAAATGAATTCACCAACGGAGTTAACACAAGTGGAAATATTGACCATCAGCCTGTTATGCAGTGCACAACCTTAAGTATGTTATCCTAAAACATGCCATTTTGTTCCAACAAATCGTCATGTAATACATATTTTTCCTCTCAGATACTTCAAATGCACTTAAAACATGGGATCAGTCAATACCTAGCCAGTCAGAAACTTGTGAAACTCACATTTCAACTACATCAGGAACAAATGCAAGAAGCAGAAAGTTTTTCCGGCATCAGAACCAAAGTACTTTAGATTTTCAGAGACAGTGTGATGAGATGCAGGACTTAAAATTAGAACTAGTTAGGCAGGAAGTTCGGGAGCAGACAGCACGTGCTCAAGAGGCTGAATATCGTATGCTTGCTGCAAAAGAAGCTGTGCGAAGTGCCAGAGCTAAAGCGGACATGGCTGAACTAGAACTTACCCAAAAAATGAGAGAGGCTGAACCAAATCCCTTCTAGTCTGTTATCATTTTAAAAAAACAAATTGTGGTGGAGTTACAATCCAATTGATTTTATTTTTTTTAACTTGCTCAAGGCTAACCTCAACACTGGCAGTATTAAAAGGCCAATCATTTTGATAATGTACGTTCCAGTAACCAATCAGACCTTGAACTTATTATTGGAACATATTTCAAAGGAAATAAAAGTTTTTTTCCTAGTGGCTTTCATAAACATAGGAAAATGAATAAATGTTATATATTATACATAAGATTTAATTTTATCTCTGTTAGGTATGTATAATTTCACTTGCCAGAGGTTGTCTCAATATCTTTAAGGTGCTATTGATATATTAGAGGGAAGACTGTTTTTATTGTCAACTTAAGTGTAGTTTTTAAGCTAAAGTTCATGAAATTCATATGAAATAACTAGATTATATTACAACTGTTGGTGCTTTTTGTAGAGTGTTTTCTACACTGCCGATGTAGCTGTTAAGGGATGATGTTTAAAAAAACTAATTATTCCTAACTCCTTAGGCAATTTGATGTTTTTATTCTTATCCATGGGTTTATCTGTTTTGCAAGAGATCTTTAATCAAATTTTGTTAAACTTTTACATCTTAGGTAATCTGTACAATTACGACAATTTCTGTGATACTTTTCCGTGTTTTTTAACTTTGTCCATTTGCCACAGGAGAGCCAACTGATAAGTTGAACTTTGTTACAACTCTTGCAATTTCAAATCGCTGGGAGGATTTTGACTGCATTGTTATTTGCCACGTTTACTTTTTATATGATGTTGAGTAGTGAGCAGTTCTATACTTTTCTTTGCACATTTTGTTTTCAAAGTGCTCTGATTAATACAGCTGTCTTTTCTTCCCTAAAACATTCGGAATACTTACAGTGGCCCCTCTTAAGCAATTATGTTGCGAGTTTGATATGTCTGTGTTGTTTTAATTTCTGAATGTTACCGGGTTTTCCAAGATAAGATACAGTTAGAAACATTTGATCATGATTTCTTTTGTATATTACTGTTATTAGCTGTTGATTTTTTAAAAATTATGTTGTTACACATTTGAAATAAAGAAACTACAATCTTCTTTAACATGTATTTATAATATTTTTCAAATTTTTTGAAGAAACAAGTTGCTTTTCTACTTTTTAACTGTTTTGCTGCCATCAGAAACAAATCAAACATAAATTTAATTGTAATACATTTTTGTTTAGCTTGACTCATTCTGAACTTGTTTGAAGTGGTGGCCATTATTTCTTCTTGTCTCTCTTTGTTGTGTTTTCACCTGTTGGGTGTGATAAAGTTTCTAACTTTGTTAAATTGGTTTTACTAATCTAAATCGATTATCTTTTCAGCTGGCGAGCACCTAGGCCCTTTCATCGAATGTCTGAAAGACGTCATGAACGAGTCCGTAAAAAGTTACATATTCTTGTCGAGGGTGAAGGTGTGCCCATACCTCTCAAAAATTTTGCAGATATGAAACTGCATCGTGGCATTGTCCAAGGGTTGGCTGCAAAAGGTATCACCCGTCCAACTCCTATTCAAGTTCAGGGTATTCCTACAGTGTAAGTTAATAGGAACAGTCATTAAACTAATACAGCGTTCTAATTGATAAATGTTATGTACGTGGACCTTCAAATATTACAATTTTCAATCATTCAGAAAATTGCTAATTTTATTTAATAATTTATGTGATAATCCACAGGTTGTCTGGCAGAGATATGATTGGCATTGCTTTCACTGGAAGCGGTAAAACATTGGTGTTTGTATTACCCATCCTTATGTTTACAGTTGAACAAGAAACTAAAATGCCTTTTATCCGTCACGAAGGGCCCTATGGTAGGCTTCACTCTTCAACTGCAACTATCATTTTCTAATTCAGGTTTTTAATACTTTTCTCATAAATTATTTACGCACTGCTTCCAGGTCTGATCATTTGTCCATCCAGAGAATTGGCCAAACAGACTCATGATATAATTCTTTATTATTCAAAGCACATGCAACAATGTGGTGCTCCAGAGATACGGTGCTGTCTAGCAATTGGTGGGGTTCCTGTATCAGAATCCTTAGATGTTATAAACAGGTAATAAGCCGCTGGGAGATTTTTGTAGCCATACCTAGTTTTACGTAACCCTTTTCTTATCAAATTAACTACCGCAAAATTATTCTCTTATATTGTTTTCTTTTGTTTGTAGAGGTGTGCATATTATGGTTGCTACTCCTGGAAGACTCATGGATATGCTTGACAAAAAAATGGTCCGATTGGATGTCTGCCGGTAACTATAAATACCTACATACTTTCAAATATTATCTGTGTGATTGGATATAAGGTGATGTACAGTCAAATTTTTCTGGTTAAATTCTACTTCTCTGTTTAACAAGATACCTCTGTATGGATGAAGCTGACAGAATGATAGACATGGGATTCGAGGAGGATGTGAGAACCATCTTTTCCTTCTTCAAGGTATATTAAGATTCTGAAAATGATTTTAAATGACATAACAATACAGTACAGTAACAATACAATATGAGTACAACATTAAACTGAAAATATTCAATTTTGTGTTCTGCAGGGTCAAAGGCAAACCTTGCTTTTCTCTGCCACAATGCCCAAAAAGATCCAAAATTTTGCTCGTTCGGCTTTGGTGAAACCAGTCACAATAAATGTTGGCAGAGCAGGTGCTGCCTCATTGAATGTTATTCAGGTAAGTGTACTCAAACTACCCTCTCGTCCTTATTTTTCTTTCTTTATTCTTGGTCACTAAGTCCTGAATAAGTTGAAAAATGCTTTGGCGTGTTTTTGCAGGAAGTTGAATATGTAAAGCAGGAGGCTAAGGTTGTATACCTACTAGAGTGCCTTCAAAAGACAACACCTCCTGTATTAGTGTTTGCTGAAAAGAAACAGGATGTGGATGCTATACATGAATATCTTCTTTTGAAAGGTGTTGAGGCTGTAGCAATCCATGGTGGAAAAGGTGATTAACTCATTCCAAGCAATAATATTAAAATTTATTTTGATTGATTGATTGAACAGTTTTTCATTCATATTATTGTTTTGTTATCTAGATCAAGAAGAAAGATCGCGGTCAGTTGAAGCTTTCCGTAGAGGTGAAAAAGATGTCCTTGTGGCTACAGATGTTGCATCAAAGGGTCTTGACTTTAATGAAATACAGCATGTTATCAATTATGATATGCCTGATGATGTTGAAAATTACGGTAAGCTACATTTTAACAAGACATTTTTTTCATGCCGAGGTAAAAGAGACATATTCTTACTGTAACAAAAAATATTTCTTGTGAACAGTGCATCGTATTGGTAGAACTGGCAGATCAGGGAAAACTGGAATAGCAACAACGTTCATTAATAAGGCTAATGATGAATCAGTTCTACTCGACCTCAAACATCTTCTACTTGAAGCAAAACAAAAAGTCCCTCCCTTCTTGGCTGCTCTGCAGTCTGATAATGAGAAATATCTTGATCTTGGAGGTAAGTAACGTTTCCTTTAGTAAATATGTAACTTGAACCTAGAGCAGTGTAGAATAAATGGAATAATGCTTTATTCTAGATGAGAGGGGATGCAGTTACTGTGGTGGTCTTGGTCACAGAATCACTGACTGTCCCAAGTTGGAAGCCATTCAGAGCAAGCAAGCTTCCAACATTGGCCGCAGAGACTATTTGGCCAGTAATGCTGCTGATTGGTAGGGTTATTGAAGGTAAGAAAAATAAATTTCATCCCAAAAATATTTAATTGTTTTAGAATACACATACACTTATAAATGCGCCTCCTCTAATTTACAAAATTATCATGTTTTCAGCAACTGCCAAATTAAAGAGGAAATTTTCAAGAGGAGCTGCAAAACCTCTTTTACGCAGCTCTTCTACCGACACCATAGCCCGGCCCTCAGAATCAGTGACATTTGAGAGCGATCTGTAAGGTAAATGAAGAAAAGTAAACACAAATATAATTCTATGTACCCAAATTGTGAACATTTAGTATCTAATTTACAAAATATTTAATGTATACATGAAAAAAATTAAACTAAGTAGAATATATTGGAAACCGACCTTAAATTATTGAGCAAGTCAGAGGTCCGATCAGCAACTTCCTTTACAATTTGAGATTCTACAACATCATCTCTTGCAGCTAACTGTACTAACTGGACTGCAATTTCCTTGTGAGTTTTTGTCATAATCATACTCTCTGAAAATGTTTCAACACACTTAGAACTTGATTCTTTATCCAAACAAAAGCTCAGCAAAATCTTGACATCAGAATTCACCTTTGGCATGAGGGGCCACAGAAATTTCACGAGCAGGAAGATTTACAAGAACATCATACAAGTCTGCACGACTCCCTATTGTGCTATCCCGAAATCCTGCAATGTAGCACTGACTCGCCTGAAATTCATATCAAATAAAATTGTAACATTGCTAAGTTTAAAAACAAAATTACATACTTTACTTAAAATTTTATTCTACCTTCAGAGTGGTAATTTCTTCAGGAACCAAATCAACCCAGGGATATAAATCATTTGCTTCTGGACGATGAGTCATCAAAGCAGGGAAACTACGAATCCACTGAAACAATGTTGGAAAAAAAAAAACAATTAACATTTTACATTTCAAAACAAAGAATGAAATAAATAAAACTTACTCTTTGAAGTGCTTGAAGGCTATGATGATAAACAACAACTCTTTTCCGAAGTAACATTGCTGTGTAGATTAATATAATTTCTAAACCAAACATGTTTATTAATTCTGAAACAAATTGAGTTTTTTGATTACTTTTAGCTAAGGTACTATTTTGATTTTGTTTTAAGTTTTCTTAGGACATTACCTTTCACCATGGTATGACAATTTTGGGAACCTCTAGGGGTATCAAACTCTCTGACAATAAATGTTCCATTTTCTTCAGTAGTACATGAGCCTGTAGTTGCCACAGATAAATACAGACGTAACATAATAGATGGATCACCTAATAAAGGTACACAAGAAGAAAAATGCTGTATTCAAATGGTAAGAAGTTTTGATTGGGAATATGTGATGATACATAGTACGAAGGCTTACCAGTTTTGCAGTATGTTTTACTAAAAATTCTAATTAATGTTTCATATTTTTCAGGATTGAAGTCATTGGTCCATAAAACCAATGCAAACTGTTTGACCTTCACGACAGAAAAGCAAATATGCATGGCATTAAGGCATGCTTCTTATTCATAACATTTATTAAAGAAAGTTGCAAACAAGAAATGATGGTACCCATGGCAGGTTGTCCGAATCAAAGACTTCAGTGCACCCTATATAAAACCACTGTTTAAAAGAATGTCCGAAGATAAAACGTTGTGTGCCATGTCCAGTTGCATTGCCCCCATCTCCTTCATTTAAGCAACACTTTCGAAGGGAGAGAGAACGTTGTTGATCCGATATGTAAGGAAAAGTCCATGCCCATAAAACATCTCCATTCGTGTCACGCTCTGAAAAATTATGTTTGATTACAGACATGTGAATGAAAGTTTCATAACATTTTCCTGAGGTGAACGCAGTGAATGCAGGATACTAATAACAAATTATAGGATATGTTGATTGAGGAATAAGGTTACCTATTATACTACATGAAGACAAAATTGCCATTTTAAACTTCTGTCATTCGACTCCTTGTTGACAGCCTTTGTCCAATAAAATAACTCGATAAAGAAGAGAAGGTAAATATAAACACAGGAAGACCAACTAGAGTTGACAGCTCGCTTGTCGACTGCTCAAGTGACACATTAGCAGTCGCCAAATGGGTTCCGACATCAACCGCTAGAGGACGCGCACGTAGATCACAAGCGCGCAGGTTAGGCTTGGCTTTGCTCGCTCGTTTCGTTTTATGAATACCAACGAGAATACCAATGGCAATGTAATCTGTAGATTGTGAGGTATTTTTCTTTGAATTGTTTACAAGGTTATGTTTTCGTATAGATCCAAACATTGGTTATCATTGATCAGAAGTTTTATCAGATTGATTTGTTCATTTATGTCGGTTTGGCAACTTCTTCGGCAGTCTTAAAATATCAGGTTAGTTTCGCAAAGTTGACCCTTTCTACATCCTATTTGAAACTGTATTTCTTTTTTTAGTTTTCTCAATCTTGTTTTGGGTTTTGTTTATATCACTGAAACTCCTTGTAATTTCATTGCACTTATTTGTCATGCTCTTGTTAATTCACTCACTCAGCGCTCATAGTTTCAGAGAACATTCTGACAAACCATTAATTGTTTAATGTTGAAATAGTTGCAGTTGTGTACTTTTCCTT